TCAGCAAGTTCAGTGTTGGGGGAGTGTCAGCCGGGTGGAAGAGAAATGGTGACTGGACAGGAAAGCATTCAAAGTCATGGAAAATAAGTTTATTGTGTTAGGAAGCTTTTATTTTCCTGAAAAGTGAGCAAAATGCAGTTGTAAATACAGGGTTGGTCAGAGTTGAGATAAATTTATGGTTGGGAGGCCTTTAACAAAGTTTCCAGAGAAAAAAGAAAGAATTTGGTGAAATTGGAGAACTATAGCACACAGGAGAGAAGGGGCCCAGTAGATCAGCAATGGCAGGAAGGGGATACATCAGGACAAGGCAGAGGGTGTAAGTTAAAGTAGAAGGAGGCCATGGGAAAGAAGTTAAAGGTATTCACACACAGCTTCAACAGCTTTAATATTGCTTTTCTTTTCTCTAAAGACAATGAGAGAGGAAGGCTTTATAAAAAGGGTACAGGAAGATTTGAAACAACCCTGTGTGTGGGAGGAACAGGAACCAATTAGGGACAAGTTGAAAGATTGCCTGGAAGATGAGGAGTTGTATGTTTCTGTAGTACAGATGCAAGAGACTTTAGAAATCATTTATTTCTGAGCACAGATCGCAAAGAATCAAGGAATCAACTGAGCCAAGGCTGAGAACATCAGAATGGGGTGCCGGAGTGCAGCTGAGAGGAAGGACTATTTTCCTCAGGTAGAATTAGGAATGGAAGGAAAATCAGCAGGGGTATGACAGTGAGGAAAGACACATATGGAGAGAAAAGAAGTTTTGATGAATGCAAAGAGCGTTGATAACCCGGAGAGGATGTGGAAGAACTGCAGATTATCAGGGAAAGGGCTTCACAGTTGGATAATTTCTAAAGGTGAAAATATTGGTGTAAATTTCTGATGTTGAACCATCCTTGGAGTAATGAAGTGAAATGTGCTAAAACTTTTGTAGGTGATTTAAAAGCCTTGCTGGGTGCAAGGCTCATGCCTGTAATCCTAGCTATATAGGAAGTTGAGAGCTAAGGATCGCGGTTCAAAGCCAGCCTGGTCAGAAAAGTGTGAGACTCTCATCTCCAATTAATCACAAAGAGGCAGAAGTGGAACTGTGGCTTAAGAGATAGAGGACTAGCCTTGAGCACAAAATCTTAGAGACAGGCCCAGAATTCAAGCCCCAGGACAGCACAAACACACACACACACACACACACACACACACACACACACACACACACACACACACACACACTACTGCAACAATAAAACCCAAAACATATGGAGTTAGTTAATAAACAAATAAACAGATGGGTAGGAGGAAAGAAACTCTAAATTTCTAAGGATATGGTGCATCTTTATTAAAAATACTGATCTAATAACTCATTTGTTGACTATTGTAAGACTTATTGGGTACAGCACAGAAAAGGTGTTTATATGGTACCTTTGTCTTTGAGTGTTTCTTCCATCTTCTCCTTTTGTGCTTTAATTGTAAGTAAATCCATGCTTTTTTTCTGTCACTGAGGTCATTATTACTGCAAAATGTTATATTTGACCATATTTTTTCATGCTTCCTGATTTAATATGCAACTGAAAATTATTTTGCCGTTTGTTTCTGTACTAGCTTGCCTCCTTTTGTAGCAACAGCTCTGAAGTTAAAATGACAGGGCAACATTTACAAAACTTATAAAATTTTTATTTCCTCCTATCTCTGGTTTAGTAATATGATTAGTAGTAGCCAGGTCAAACCCCATTACAATAAAATTATAGACCAAGGAAATAATTATCCTTATGTTAATATCATAAATGTTATAAATCCAAATAATTTGACTGAATCATATATACCAGACTAGACTCCAACCTATTTTGCTGTATCAAGAGCAAGACTCACCTTAGGTAAAGATACTGGAAAAGAATATACACATGCAAAAAAAAAAGAATATACACATGCATTATGTAAAGCTTCTGGAAAGTGTGATTGATATCCAGCCAGGTAGCAGAGAGACAGTCAAGTTATGAATGCAGAATAGTCTCGTGACGGTGTTTCAACTATGAAAAGATGAACCATAGGCTCCAGGAATGTCAGTTCATCCTGTCAATCATCAATATCCGATTGGGCATTTAGCATCCCCTAACATTGTGCTAGGTACTGAAGACATAAGGAAAGATTTTGACTTTCCCAAGCTATTGAGAGAAATACACTGTTAACACAGAACTACAGTCCCGTGTGGTACAGACAGTAATAAGGAAGGAAAAACGTTATAGAAGATTCGCTATGGCTATGGCTATAAAACAGTATTTTTCCATTTCTTTTTCTAAAAGTCTCCTTAGAGCAACAAGGAAAGGAGAATACAAAAATACAAACTGAGGGCTGGGAAGGTAGCTGAGTGGAAGAGTGCTTGCCTTACATGCATGAGTCCCTGGGTTCGATTCCTTAGCAACCACATAAACAGAAAAAGTCGGAAGTGGTGCTATGGCTCAAGTGGTAGAGCACTCGCCTTGAGCTGAAGAGCTGAGGGACAGTGCCCAGGCCCAGAGTTCAGGCCCCATGACCGACCAAAAAAAAAAAAGCCAAACAAACTGAATTTTCCATTAGACTAGAAGACATATACCAAAGATTTCACAGGGCTATTCAAAGTACTCAAAAGAACACAGGAGCTCCACTGGAGGAAAGGGAGAGAAACAGAGGAGAATGTTCAACAATAGCATGCCAAAAGATGAACACACAGACACTGACTGAAGAAAGACACATGTAGCGATTGAAAACTGTACCTGTTGTCTGTCATAGCCAGCAGGCAACAGAAACCCTACTGGACTAACCCTGGTTCATAGAAGTAGACATGGCATCCACATGAAAGTGTAAGAGGCCACTTAAAAGATGCTGTTGCTGGGTCCTGTGAATTAACTAAAAGTTCTCCACTTTTGTCCCTGTGACCCTTGATGTGGCTGTTCTCTGCTGCAGTCTCTTTGCAAACACCTTGGGTTCCAGCAAAGAAATTTACTGATAAGTATCTTGTGTAGAAGGCAAACAGCCCCTCACACAGACAGTGCCTCTATTTATCATCCAAAAAGAGGAAAGAGCCCCAAACCTAGGAGACCACTGACCAGGCATCTTGTTTTTGCTCTGTCCTATTAACAACTTGAAACTCCTCCAGAGACAAAGATTGAGCCTCTGGTTCACCTGGTCGTACCTGTGACTTGGACTTTTTTTTTTTCTTCTTAACTGTGCGTACCTTTCTCACCTCCCTGCCCCCGCCCTAATTCTTCCCATTTGACTAGAGGCCAATCTCTGTCCTATGAAGGCAGACTAGGATGTGCTGATACGCTGGTCTCCCATGGCTGTCATGTAATAAATTTCCTTTCTCGCACTACATCATGTTTCTGTTTTTTTTTTTAAATTTTATTTTATCATAAAGATGCTATACAGAGGGGTTACAGTTACATGAGTAAGTCAATGAGTACATTTCTTGTAGAGAATTGTTACTCTCTCCTTTGTGGTTCTCCCTTATCCCTTTCTTCCCCCACCTTCTTCGCTCCTCCCCACCCCCAAAGTTATAAAGTTCGTTTCCCATATACTGTCTTGTGGGTATCATTGTTGCAATTGGTCATCCTGTGTCCTTGTTTCAGCATTCTGTTACTCCCCTCCCCCTCCTTGAACTGGAGAAAAGTATATACAAGATGTATGACACCACGAACAAGTACAGGATAACAGGAGATACCATAGGGGGAAGAACATACAAAGGAAACAAAACCATCTCATAGCACATTAACAACAATGACAAAGAAGAACCGCTTGCAGGGAACTACACCATATTTCTTTATGGGGATAAGTGTCAGGTCTGGATCCCTGAACTTTGATCCGGAGTCTAAAAACTCAGTTTCAAGAAATTACCCAAAGTCACACATGCAAAAGTAGTGCTTTTTTTTTTTTTTTTTTTTTTTAATACAGGAGAAGAGAGGCTTTGCTTGTTTAACAACAAGAAAAGAAGAACTTGCCTGTCGTCTTAATTTCCTTCTGACCCCTTCCAATGGAAAGTTTGGAATGAGATTAGCCTTGGAAAACCCAGCTCATAATGAAGTGCTTAAAAAACAAAAGCAAAAAAACTCGAGTGTAGCATTTAAACAAGAAACACTAAAAAGGAAAAAAAAATCTAATAAAAATTATATAAGAAACAAATAAGATACCATAAGGGAGAGTTGGGGGAAGAATGGTAGAAAAGATGACATTGATCAAGAAGCATTATACTCATAAATTAGTATATTGAATTGAAACCCCTTATACAACTACTCAAAAAAATACTTTAAAAAAGATACCATAAGGGAAAAGTAGAAAAAATATTCTGACAAAATATAAATGAAAAAAGCTACTGTGAATATTTTGAATAAACATTATTAAATACCAGGAAAGATTTTCCTCATTACATACCCTAAAAAAAAGTCTACAGAAATCTATGGCCAAAGGCATTCTTAATTTGGTGCCAATCCTGGGGCTTGAACTCAGGGCCTAGATTCTGTCCTGGAGATTTTTTATTCAATTCTAGCACTCTATCACTTGAGCCACAGTTTCACTTCTGGATTTTTGGTGGTTAACTGGAGATAAGAGTTTCACAGCCATGCATGTCCAAGCGAATTCTTAGATCTTAGCCTTCTGGGTAGCTAGGATTACAGACATGAGCCAATGGCATCAGGGTCAACGTCATTCTTATTAATGAAAATTAAGTATTCTTCCCCTATGGAAGGAGACTAATTCTCAGCACTTGAAAGGTTCTAGATAGTGCAGAAAATAAACAGAAAGAAAAGCATTTGCATGGTAGATGAAGAAGTTGAACTTTTTTTTCTTTATAGTTAATGATAGTTCACATAGAAAATCAGGTGACATCTACAATCAATTACTAGAACTAGTGAAATGAGTTAGATTGTAGGATTAACAAACAATGTATAAACAGCAGCTATTTGTATATATAATACTGAATTGCTGAAAGATGCCAGGCAATCATATGTTTACTTAAATTTATTGTAATATTTTTCTCATGGAAGCTTCAATTTATATCATCAAGTAAGATCTCAGGAACCACCTCCACCTTGTTCTCTTCAGCTCCTAAGGTGAATAATTAGAGTAGGTTGATCATTTGTGTCATTTGTGTTTCTTATAGAAGCCAAACTTAACAAGGATTAGTGAGTTCCATGATTTATGAGGTTCTGGAAATTTAGCACTAATAAATCTTAATTGTTAATGTTTCCTTCTTAGAGTGATATATACTTATTAGGAAAAACTTAGAAAAAATACAAAATTTAATTCATTATCTTAATACTCAAGCAGGATGACAATTTAAGACATTTTAATTTATTTTATTCCAATACTTTCCATGAGAGATATTGATCCAGTCTGTGGATATATATATGTATTCATCTATATATCTTTGTCTAAATGTGTGTATATATAAACATTTATATATGTATATAGTATATATGTGTATATAGTATATATTTGTGTATATAGTTTATATTTGTGAATATTGGCATAATTTTCTAAAGACTTATATAATTATTAAATTACATACGTTATCTTTCTCAAATATCTACTAGAATAAAATTTAGGATTTAGAGGAGGTTATTTTTGAACCTTTTGAGTGTTTTTGAATATTCGCAGATCCCTCATTTCTCAGTTATGCCCACACAGATATGTAGAAAACTCTTTACAATGTTAATTATTCATCTTTCTTAATAGGCAGAGCTGTAAATAATGTATTGTATGCCTTTGGCATTTCTGCATTACTCACTTTAAATATTGAAACACTTGTTTCAAGAGCGTCTTTGTAGTTTGTGTTTTATTTGTATCTTCTACTTTAACAAAGAATCAGGGGTCCTTTAACTTAATGATAGCTCAGAACTGGTAATTGTCTCATAATTAAACTCCCATCTTGATTATTTTTTACACTGCTAAAAAGCCTTATTATATGCAGATATAATATATGCATATATATATGCACATATAATAGACACAGTAAATTGAGGCTTATGGAAAATGAGAACTTTAACCCAGAAAAGTCTTCCCCAAGTTGCTTCAATATAATATATACTATCAGAGTAAAAATGATCCATGTGATCATTTGTGTAACATGAATGAAAACTGCCTCCTTTAATAGGAGCTTACCTCCATAACTGAATGTCAGAAGCAGGCTCTGGATTTATACATGTTATTTTTACTTAGTTTTTATCAGCATTTAAAATTGGGGTGGAGAGCAGCAGAAATTACTTGCAAGTAACCTACCCTGGGAAATAGATTAAAAGTGTTGTTATAAAGCCTCTAATAGTAATGATGATGATAATAATTCCATGCCTTAAGATTCTGCCTACAGATGAGTAAACCATGCACAAGACTGTGAGAAGACTGTATCAAGTGCTAGTGGTTTGTGTGAAGGAAAATTGGAACCAAACAGTTTCCATGAGCCCAAACACTATTGAAGAGGATTCACTGGCCAGTGGCTTGGGGGGGCAGTAGTGGACAACGACATGCTTAAGAATTGGCATATCTGTCACTTACACTCTACCCTAAACTCTTCTCCTTCTACTAGTTATGTTTTATTTCTAGAAGAGAGTAACCTGGTAGACACACATGCTGTAGCTCTTCTAGCACATGTCTTTCATTGGTTGAAGTAGCAGGAAGCAAGGCGCAGGAAGTAAGATGTGGGATGAGGGCAGTTCTGAGGACATGTCCTCTGTGTAAAGTGAACCAGAATGTGCTCCCGCTTTGGGGTCTCTGTACTCAAAAGTCGGGCTTCTTTTTAAAATTTGCTTTCACAAATAGTACAAGGGAAGCATGTGCTGATAATTCCATGGAAGTGCAGATTATAGCAAAGTTAGATCTCTTGACTCAGTCAGCTCTGTTTCGGAATCAGACTTCTAATGAGTCGTGATAACAACACATATTTACGAAAGTTGGTGCACTAAGCTTTTGGTTTTTAAATTTTTTGATAGCAGTAAGAAATACGACCTGATGCAATGTGATGAGGGAAACAGCCATCTGTTTCCAGTTATCTGGCTACCAAACATAACATTGATTTTTGTTCTTTAAGGATATTACCAAAACTCAGAAACTCAGGATTGCAAGTGATAGCTTGAGGCCTGGATATCTTTCCTCCCTTGAGTTTTCAGTCAACCACAGAGACCAAAAAAGAAATCCAGAAGGTACAGATTTGTATATAGAGCATGTTTCCAAAACCAAGATAGTGAAGAAGTCTGTCAGCAAACCCCAGCAGCAAAGAGAAGCAGAAGCTCTGCCAGAAAATGTCAAACTAGCTCAGAGGTCCCAGGTACTTTGTTCTTTTTTTTCTTATTTACAAAATGAACAATAATCTACTTATTCTGGAAATAGCATTCAGTAACGGTTTTGGTTCATTTTCACATTTTGAAGCACTCTAATTATAGGATGGACATCACAATATGTGTTTCCTGTACAGGGTCCCAATATCTATTTTTTCTCCCTTCTCTTTCTTCTTCTTTTTATTTTTGGACAAAAAGTTAGATTGCTAATATAAGCACAGTGTCTGCAGAACTCAACCAAGTGAAGAGCTCTCAGAAAAATGTGTGGATGGGGAAAATTTAAAACTATATTTAAGAGAGAAATGGCCCCATAGGATGAACCTTGACTCTTCAGGATTTTGTATTCAATATTTTATAGAAAAAAGTGCTTAGCTAAATAAAGCATACATAGGTTGTTAGCTCTATCATCAAGGATCCAGTATCTAAAGTAGGATCCAGTATTTGAAATTTCAGATTCATTGTAATAACGTACTGCCCCAAAGTCTTCATGTGTCTAAATGTGTCTGCTTCTTTTAAAAGACTCACACCATACCAACAGTGCTTCCCTCATTTAATTCTTTTCTAATTGTCTTCATGTTCCATTTATAATTATTACAACAATAAAATATGGGAGTTCCTGTGTCAGGTTTAGTGCTGAGTGATTACAAACATTATTTCACTAGCATCCATTTTACATCTTTTGTAAGCCAGAACTGATTGTTTATATTATCTAACTGGCTCACCAGATTTGACTTTTAAGGCCTTTTAACTATTGTCACAAATTAAAATCACTCTTAGAAGGTGGATATGAGCCACTGGAGCAGATATTCAAATGAATTGCTGTGGGCCCTGAAGGCTGTGTAAACTCACTTGATCAGCAGATACCTGCCGAGTTTCTTCCCTGTAGACACTATATTGCATGGTGGGAGATAAGATATTCAAAGCATAGTTCATACAAAGGGAATTATTTTGAACAATAGTCACTTTATTGAAAGCTCTCATTCATTCCTTTGTCATATTTTTGGCAAATAGTGTACAGGTTCTTTCTAAAATTCTTTAGTGAAAATCTTTATTCTTTAAAGAAGACTTTTTTCATTTCACTTTTAAGTAGTTCATTCTCAAAAAGTAGTTGAAACCAGTTTTCTTATAATTGTAAATTTTTTATCCTCAGTCTTTCCCTGAGATTATATGATCACATTAAATGTTTATCATCTATACAATTTAACATTTCTTTCTGTCACTTTGAATTATGTGTCATATTTAAATATGATGTTTCATATTGCAAAAGGCATTTATGTAACACTTCCATGTTCAAAATATAGCATAATTGTAATATAAGAGATTTTATTACTTTTTTTTCCAGTCCCGAGGCTGAACTCTGGGCCTAGGCACTGATACTGTGCTTCTTTTCCTATCACTTGAGCTATAGTGCCACTTCTGTGTTTTTCTGAGTAGTTTATTGGAGATAAGTGTATCATGGACTTTCCAGCTTTGGCTGGTTTTGAACTGAATAGCTAGGATTATAGGATTGATCCACCGGTGCCCCGAGAGATTTTATTACTTTATAGTCATATCTCCATTAACCCTGCATTTAAAAAATTATTAAGTGTAAAATTTAAAGATTTGGGATTTGTTGGTTTACTGTGTAGTTATGTTATATACTCTTAAAGCAAGAATAAATTGAGAAGTTGATAGTGTGTCCAGGTATTAAAACAACATATTTAGAATTTAGATGTGGTATAGTAACTTTGTAGATGTCTGCATGAGTATAGAGCTACCCAAGAGAATGTATACTTATAGTATGCGCACATACATGCATATACACATACATATACACTTGTGTAGCTTTGCACATTATAGGTACATAAATGTATATTAGCATATATGTAAAATACATAGATACATCTACACATGTATATGTAAAATCGTATGTGCCACTCTCAAGCCACAAATGTTGTCATGAACAAAACCATACATAGTTTCTGCCCTCATCAAAGTTAGAGCCTAATAAGAAGCAGAGCAATCATGCCTCCAATCATTTCATAGACAGATTTATATTGCAGCTACAATAGTATTCCTTTTTTTCTTTTGAGATAGAGTTTTGCTGTGTTACAAAGACTGCTTCCTCCTTCAGCTGGCACTGCAGGCACCTCCTATGCCTGCTATTGTGGCAGGATTTTTATGGGCAGTCACTTATCTGCTTATGACGGGATATTTGACTATGGCTGGTGGGATGGGCTGTCTTTTCAGAAAAAAGATTCCTAAGTTTTTTATGATTAAATTGATTTAAAAAAGAGAGATGATACATTTTCAAGTAATGTACACTGTTTGTTAAAAAGGGATACAAGGATGGGTGTAAAGTATTTCAAGAGGACAGTAATGGGAGGACAGAGAGATGGAGAAGAGATGTGTAGGGAATGATCACAACCACACAGGTTCCATAGGCCTTGAGAAGCAGATTTTCATTTGTCCTAAAAGCAACAGAAAACAACAGGAGAGCATCAGTAATGTGCCCAGACATTATTTATTTTACTTTTTAAGAAGACATTGCTTTAGTTGAGTATGGAAAAAAAAAGTAGGATCATACCTTGCAGTCATTTGACCCCTACTTGTCTGCATAGGAAAAGACTGGTTGATTTCATCTCTAGGATAGAAGGATAGTTTGATATACATAAATCAATAAACATAATATGGGAAATTAACAGAATTAAGAGCAAGAATCACATGATCATCTCAATAAATGCAGAAAAAGCCTCTGACAAATCTTACCTCCTTTCATGATAAAAGCTTTGGAGAAGGTAGAACAGAAGTAAGATACCTCAATATAATAACAATGCTTTACAAGAAATGTACTCATTGCCTTACTCATCTAACTGTTACCCCTCTGTATAGCATCTTTCAATAAAATAAAAATTTAAAAAGACTATTATGACAAGCCTAGAATCCACATACTAAATGGTGAAAAGTGGAAAGTGTTTTTTCTAAAATCAGGAGCAAGGACAAAGATGTCTACTCTCTGCATTCCTTTTCAGTGAAGTAATGGAATTCCTAGCTAGAGCAGAAGGCAAGAGAAAGACATAAAATCCAAAGAAGGAAAAGTCAAAGTATCCCTATTTGCAGATGACATGATATTATATCTAAAGGACCCTAGAGAGTCCTCTCCCAAGCATATCTGCTTTGAAGAAAACCTCATATGCTTCACATGCTTGATAAAAACGGCTCTGGAAATTGCTAACAGTTTAGTTTTCATGTAGTACATTTATCTTTATTAATATAAGTAACAAGGACTTATTGTTCCTCCTAGAGAACTTTTTTAATTTTTTGGAGCTTAAAACAACATACATTTATTTTCTCACATTACTCTGGGTCTAGTGACTGGGCAGATTTTAGTTGAATTCCCCTCCTTAGGATTTCATAAAGCACAAGGCGTTGGCAGGATTGAATTTTCTTTTGCGGGTCAAGATCCTCTTTCTACTGACATAGTTGTTGGTAGAAACCATTTTCTTATAACTGCTTGGTGCCCTGGCTTCTCACTAGCTTTGGCTGGAGGCCATTTTTAATACCGTGTCACATGACCCTATTCCCAGGTGGTCCACAACAGGGCTATTTGCCAGTGGGAAAGTCTGCTACTGCTAAATCATCTAAGATTTAATTTCACAAAATAAAATGCAGTCAGACTAACATGACATTCTATCACTTTTGTTAGATTCTATTGGCTAGAAGAAAGTTGTAGGTGCCGCAGTCCCAAGGATAGATTATTCTGAGAGCATGGGCCATTTGGGGTCAAGAGTAGAAAGGGTGCATCTGTCACGGAGAGCCAAGCAAGTAATGAAGAGAAATCTTTGAAAAATACCAAAGCCAAATTGAAATCAGAAGCTATAAAAGCTTGTCACTGAAGTGTTTTCAACCTTTTCAAGTATGAAGGAATATTTTAAATGTAGAAAAATGATTATACATTCCATATAATAATAGGTATGTTCAGTTTTCATTAGTAACAATATAATCAAAAGGAAAACATCACAGATACTTTGAAATGAATCGTGTCTTATATTCCTTAGCAGAATCTACATATGTACATATTCACATGAACCATTGTTTATTTAGAATATGGATAGTAACTCATGTTTGCAAACTATTAATTTACGCAGATTTTTGCAAATACCACATGCCCCTAAAATCACTGCTGAGCCCCATCGTCCATACCAATCATTCGTACTTAATTTGCCTTATGGCAATTTTTCCCCCTGGTTCTGGAGCTTGAACTCAGGGGCTTGGGCACTATCTCCTAGCCTCTTCATGCTTAAGGCTAGTGCTCTACCACTTGAGCCAAATCATCACTTCTGGCTTTTTCTGAGTAGTTTATTGGAGTCATATAGACTTTTCTACCTGGACTAGACTTTCTTGCCCTGGCTTTGAACCATGATCCTCCAATCTCAGCTTCCCAAGTAACTAGGATTACAGGCGTGAGCCACAGTGCCAGATGTCTTATGGCATTGTTTATTGAGGTGTGTCATTAGTTAATCTTTACATGTGCTTATGTACATCACGCCCCCACCCCCAAGATAGTGTCAAACTGGATAGCCAAGACTATGTTGAAACTCTGTAGTCCTGACTGGTCTCAGGATCTTCCTGTCTTAGCCTCCCAAGTGCTGGAGTTACAGTTACGCCTCTCTCATACACATATCCCACACTGGCAAGTTAGGTATGTATTGAAGGCAGTTGTCTGAAGGCAATATTTCCCTGTATTATTTCACCATTTGTAGAGATGAAATGGCATAATGAGTGAGGGTGGTTTAATGTGGTACACATTGACTTTGTATATTTGCTTTTAACACTTTGCTGTAGGTCTCTTGCTGGGGAATAAAAAGGGAGCCAAGTATCAGCCTCACACAAGAAGGTCAAGTATTGGTTGATGCTGAATCCAGCAACAACAATCAAGATATCATCGTGGTGAGATAAACATACTTACTAATGATACCTTAAGATTTTTTTCACCTTTACAGGGATTAAAGAGATTCAGCAGGTGTCTCAATGAAGCTGAAACATTGATTAAATCACCTAGTTTGGGGATACAGCAAGAGGTCTTACAAAAGATAGTTGTTATTCATGCAAGGCTATATAAACTAGTAAAGATAGAACTAGCCACGAGTCCACAACTCTTTTCCATTATCCGATTAAGACCTCTAATAGACATGTGAATGTATAAAAATTATACAATTTGAAGGTCATATCCCAACCTTATGTTCCAATCAATACTGTATGAATCTTTCTGTAATTTATAACACAGACTTTCAACAGAAAGTGTAATGCTCATTTGTATGTTGTTTGTTTGGTCTTGTGGTGCTGGGAGTTGAACCCAGGGCTTTATGTATAATAGGCAAATTTTCTACCACTGAGTTATATTCCCATCTCCACAATGCAAGTTTGAATTGACTTAAATTGGGCCACTACCCAAAGCTTTGCCGAGACAAATGTATGAATTCCATGCAATGTGTACAGTTTTTAACCTAATGGTGACATTAAACATATATATATATATATATATGTGTATATATATATATATATATATATATTTTTTTTTTTTTTTTTTTTTTTTTTTGGGTCCGGTCGTCTGGCCTGAACTCTGGGCCTGGGCACTGTCCCTCAGCTCTTCAGCTCAAGGCTAGTGCTCTACCACTTGAGCCACAGCGCCACTTCCGGCTTTTTTCTTTTTGCTTATGTGGTGCTGAGGAATCGAACCCAGGGCCTCAGGCATGCAAGGCAAGCGCTCTACCACTGAGCCGCCTTCCCAGCCCTATATATTTTTTTTTTTGGCTACTAGAATCACTTTGAGTTCGTTAAATGGAAAAAGGCTTGGTGTTCAGGCAAAAGTGATTTGAAGACTGACCACACAAGGATCCCTTCACCTGGGAAGCCATGCTAGAAGTGTCATTTGAATTATAGTAATACACAATGAAAATTCATTTTGATGTTAGAATTTAGTCAGGGAAAAATCTGTTTTTTAAATCAGCGTATATGTTTTATTATTCACTGTAGTTTTCTTTTTTACCTTGATTACCAAAAAGGTTGTGGCTAAACTTGAACCTAAATAAGGATAGTTATAGTACCTTGAAAAGCTGTTATTTGTGGTATGATAAGATAAAGGCGGGTTCCTAGGGAGACACCTGGCCCCATTCTACATGTATTTAAGTAATATGCCCCAAATGCCAGCTAAGAATTTTGGATTACGTTTAATCATATTTGAGCCAATATAGAACATGTTATGTCTTCTGGTTTTAATTTCTGTGCCCTTCAATGAAACACTGTGCTCACAAGACACAGGATGACACTGACATGAAGATTTTATTTTAGTATATTTTATTTATTTTAATATATTAAAAAAATTTTAAAGTTTTTTGGGCTTTTTTCCCCATTTTTAAAAATTTTATTGTCAAGGTGATGGGTTACAGAAGGGTTACAGTTAAATATTAAGGTAGTGAGTAACTTTCTTGTTGAACTTGCTACTCCCTCCTTCATTTTTCTCCCACTTTCCTTCCCCTCCATTTCCTCCCTCCCCCACCAACTTGTACATTCATTTCCAACATATTTTCTTGTGAGTTTTGCTGTTGCCTTGGCTGGCGCTTTGTCCTTTGTCTCACCATTTTGTTAAATTGTTATTACAATTAAAAAAACAAAATATTTTAAAACTTTGTGTCAGTACCAGAGCTTGAACACAGCCCGGGTGCTGTCCCTTAGATTTTTTTTTAAATCAAGGCTGTTGCTCTACCGGTTGAGCCACAGCTTCACTCCAGGAATTTTTGGTGGTTAATTGAAGATAGGAGTCCAGGCTGGCTTTGAACAGTGATCCTCAGAACTCAGCCTCTCAAGTAGCTACCATTATCAGCATGAGCCACCAGAAATCAGCCATGAAGGTTTTATTTTTAAAACTACTTATTATGCATATTTTAAGTATGGCTCTATCAGCATTTCCCAGGTCTAATAATGAACAGTGCATGACCACTCTGGTTTCATCCGTGTACTTGCCTGTGTCTCCCGCACACACACCACAATCTAAGTTATATTTGTGTTAAGAAGGGATGTAAAAAAGACAAGAAATGATTTATGAATGGGAGCAGAAAACAGCATAATATGGACAATAAGGACTGATTATAGCCAGGACATGTGTGTGTTTGCAAAAGGAAAAAGGTCAAAATTTTAATCAGAGACTAGAAGGGGAGGCGAAACTGCAACCAGTACTGTAAAGAGCATCTCCTCTCTTTACCACTGAGAAGCACAATGTGACCTGCTCCACCAGTCACCCATTTGTGTTGTGGAAATTTCAAAGTCTAGTTGTGTTTTTCTAGTTTTCATTATGTTTTCACCTTAGAGTCACACAGAGCTTTTAGCAAGTATTATTTTTTTGTTTTTTGTGAAATAGATGGGACACACATTCTAAAATATCATTACTCTTTTTATATAATGCTTCTTAAGTCTTATGCTAACTATTCAGTATGTTTGTGGTATAGGGTATGAATTGTGTCTCTGTGACCTAAGCAGGACATCTGTTTTTAAACCTGTTATCTGATTCTTTTGGATAAATGTTTTATCCACATGCACATTAATTCAAGGCTGTGGTTGGAATAATTCAACTAGGAAATAATTACTTTTGAATGTTTACCTGTCTGTACTTTCTCAAACTCAGAAATTTAAAAAAATGTTTTCATCCATTCTCATCCATCTTCGTGTGTATATCTAGTTATGTGTGACTCTTTTTTGTGCACGTGTATGTGTGTGTGTGTGTGTGTGTGAGAGAGAGAGAGAGAGAGACTGTTTCAGAATGAAACATTTAATTTAAGCAAGGAAGGCAATCAGTATTAACAGTAGAGCAGAAAGTTAGCACTTAGGGGAAAAAACCTAGCTACAACACAAGATACCTTCCTTCTATCTGCCCCCGCCCCTTCCTCACCACCCCCCCACCCCCGCCCCAATCTAATGGTGATATTTATTATTTTGATACATTTACTGTGTGGGGGAACTAGGGCCTTGCTTTCAGGTATAATAGACTCAGAAATAGGCACGTTCATCACATAAAGAAAGTCTATCTCAGAAGGATGATTTCACATTATTCCAACTTATGAGATGGTTAGATAATAGGACAGTGGCACTTTGGTCATTGGAAAGGGAAATCCAGCTTTAGTTCACTTGGACAGGACAGGTTGACGTAAGCTATGCCTTCCCTCCCATGATGCCAGTCAGCATGGGCTGACCAAGTACAACCAAATACAACCTTAAAATTGCCACTGATTTAGGTATCTGAATACTTATAAGGTTTTTTCCAGCTAAGACAGCTTGCTGTGACCAGGCCCTAAAAGGGATGACAGAGGTAATGTCACTAACATAACTTTAACCCCAAAGGGATCCTTCACTCCATGCCTTCCTGAGATAAGTCTCAAGGACTTTCCTGCCCTATATGGGTTTGAACTGCAATCTGTACATCTCAACTTCTGATTAGTTAGAATTATAGCCATGAGCCACCAGTCTGCTTTTTGAAAGTTTTTTTCCCTCCAAGTGCTGGATAGCACCTCACTCTGGGTTTTGTACTTATCATCACACAACTTTCCTAGGAATGATGATAATACTGATTACTTTTCAAGTTCCATTGTTGAGAGTTACAGCCATAGGGTCATTCATTTTCAGAAATTTGTTCACTGCTATGGCTTAGCCACAGCTTAATCTGTTCTCCTAACTTCCTTCCCCAATTCTTGATTGAATTTTCTTCCAACACCCTGTAGTCTACTGAAGCTAGTTGTTCAAATTACGTTCTTTTTTTTTTTTTTTTCTCCTCCCAGTAGGATAACCTCATTTTCGGATGGTTGTTAATGCTTAGTTCCTGTTTTACACAGCATATTACATTTAACACACTCCCAGATTATTCATGTGCTGTTGGGCTCATTTGCCTTATCTTTAGTTCCTTCTGCCAGATAGATTGTTGGTGTCACTTCCATGGCATTTTTCCATTTTTGATATTAATTTATGCTTGGCTTTTTTGGTCAGTGCAGTCCACTTATTTTCACAGTCTGTTTAGTAAGAATGTTCTTAGGCCTTGCAAGGACTTCGAAGTTTTCAGATTGAGATTCAGTTAAAGCTTTGGATATTTTCTTTTATTACGTACATTTTTATTGTTATTATTTTTATTGTGATGTACAGAGGGGTTACAGTTACATAATCAGGCAAAGAGTACATTTCTTTTCTTTTTTTTTGGGTCCGGTCGTGGGCCTGAACTCTGGGCCTGGGCGCTGTTCCTCAGCTCTTCAGCTCAAGGCTAGCGCTCTACCACTTGAGCCACAGCGCCACTTCCAGCTTTTTTTTCCTTTTTGCTTATGTGGTGCTGAGGAATTGAATCCAGGGCCTCATGCATGCAAGGCAAGTGCTCTACCACTGAGCCACCTCTCCAGCCCCTAAGAGTACATTTCTTTTTGGACAGTGTTACCTCTTGCCTAACTCTTTCCCAGTTTTTCCCTCCCATCCCTACGGACAAGTTGTATAGTTCATTTTCCACAGTGTCCAGTGAGTACCATTGCTGCCTTTGTTTACCCTTTGGTCCCTTTATTTCTGTGCCTCCCCTTACACTCCTAAAGGCACATAAAGGAACAAACAGAATAGAAAGAAGAGAAAACAAAACAGCAAAAAAGAAAAAAAAACTTAGTTTCCATTTGTTAACGTTCATTTCAGTAAACATTATTTTATATGATCAGATGCACAGAGGCATAGTGCCTTTCTGCTCCCCTTCTAAGAGTATTCTCTTTTGGTCTCGTCATGTATAAATGCCTGGAGACACTTGTATAATTATCATGTCCCAGTGTATTTTAGATCTAGCTTCCACATATTAGAGAAAACATGTGCTATTTGTCTCTCTGAATTTGTCTTACCTCACTTAACATGATTTATTTTAGGTTTGGACATTTTCTAGA